AATGTGCCTTGGGTTTTTCAAACAGATCGCGCGTTATATTTCAGACTCGATAATTTGAAAATAGACGGTAAGAAATTGTCTTTAAGTGATTCCGTAATGCGTTTGACGGGTGTCGGAATTCTTATTTAATCATCTATTCTGCATTTTTTTTTCAACGGTAATTTTTAATGTGTTATATATATATATATATATGTATATGTATATATTTATTTATTTATTTATTTATTTAATTATACATGTACATACATTTAATTATCTTTCGAGATATTGTTATTATTCAAATATGCAAATTGTCTTATACATTATTATTCAAAGATGAGAAATGCAAATTTAATTGTACATTTGTATACATATTATTTTACGAATATTATTGGATAAGTTAATTATTTAATTTAAAAAAAAACCTACTTAATATTTCAAATTAAAGATTTACTTTTGAATTTAATTAGAAAGTCTATAGATATATAAATTTCAAACTAAATATAAAAAAAAAATTTCTAAAATTCAGTAGTCCTATAAATGATATTTTTATAAACGTATCCTTTACATTGTGATTTTTTAAAATAAATTAAATAAATTTTATAAGGAAGCATCTGAAATTATCATACATACATTCCTTATAGTAAAATTCTAATAGTTAACTATAATGCAAATGGCCATAGTAAGGCAATCCATCCTTCATTTAAGGGCCATTTAAACAAAATAAAACTTGGAAGTTAATTACTTTGAACAATAAGCTACATTGATAAAACCTAAAATTTTGTAGAGGTATTCAATGAAATATATAACTATTATACTAATAGCGATTTTTTTAATAATCATTGTATAAAGTACATTTGAATTTTAAAATTCAAGTAAATCTACAATGTAGAAAAATTACCAGAAATATATAAGTAAACCAAAATATGAGAGGAATCGAGAAAAATACTTTTTAAATAACGCAGAATATACAAATTTCGGAATGATAAACAAAGGAGAGAGTGATTAAATATTAAAAACTTCAAAGATTCTTTAAAAAATTTTGTCTGACCTGTGACTATTTATCACGTTTATTATACAGTAAAGTCGTGAAAGTATCCAAGCATCGCATGAAATATTGAAAGTAGATCAAAAGCATTTTTTTAAAAAATAATAGAAATAAAATATATGATTAATTTTTTGTATTCCTAATGAATGATATATAAGAGAATTAAACTAGAATATTTAAAATATTTAAATTATTTTGTGTGTGTGTGTGTGCGCGCGCGCGTGGGAATTATTTATCAGTCGTATGATATACGATACATTTACTTATATAATATTATATACAATTTACAATACAACAAATTTCCAGTTTACATATTGAATATTGTATTATTAAATAATATTAAACGACAGATTACAATAATTGAAAAATACAATATACATTTTCTTCGTAAATTTTAAATTATTTTTACTTTAACAAAACAATATTAAACGTTACAAATATTCAACATATGAATGTTAGCAATATTTTTCATTAGTACATTTCATTACACTCGTATTATGTCGAATTATCAGATTTTCATATTTATCATAACAGGTATATTACATAAGATGATTAAATCCAAAAAAAATTCACAATCACAATTTAAAGTAAGAAGAATCTATAATAGCAACGTTACTTTATTATTAGAAAAGTTATAAATAGTTTCTATTTTAAAAGAAACGGATTTAAAATTATATAATTCAGCTGGTAGGTATAGATAAATTAGTTAGTCTCTTCGTTCTAGAAAAACTGTCTAATTTTTAAAGTTATTTCAGAAATCTATATTCTGAACTTTGTATAATTCAATACAATTATTTCTGTTAATAAATGATTCAGGAATTCGTTAATATATATATATATATATATATAATATTGAAAGACTATCGGAAAGAGTTTTTTTTTTAATTGAATCGCTGATTATAAATCAAGTTTTACAAATTAGTAAAAGTATCGTCTGATTTCTAAAATGACAATTGTGATTATAAAAATATCTTTGTAGATTACACTTGTTTAAACATACAATCAAAATATATACGTGTAATTTTCATATTCATTAAATTGTTATTAATTATAAAAAATATTATTAATTATTATTTTGGTAGTATTTATATTTTATATTTATTATATAATGCCCAATAATAATTGCAATATAAATTTCCGAATATAATATTGAATGTACATAGAATTTCCAATATTTAATAATACAAATTTTTAATCATCTGATTAACAAAGGAATAACAATGAAAGGTAGGAGGTAATTTGCCATTAGTTTTGGAATTGATTTGGTACCAAAGATGAATCCAAACAATGTTGTTTCACTCCAATTTATAATCACATCATAAAGCTTATGATGCATTAACAAATAGATTTTGCCCTGTCCGGTATAAAACTTTTTATCGAAAATAAACAAAATTAACGTTTAATCATTTAAATGTTAATTAAGTATAAAGAATTAATAATTATAAATATAAGTCATGTCCTTGTCTACGATTATCCTGCGTAATATAGTATCATATTTTATAATTTGTTTGTGCTTGAAGGAGCCACTGATAAATATTATTACACACGACTATTGACAAACAATATTTACTCAAAATTTTTAATCTCAGGCAAATATAGTTTTTCAATTATTACATACATTGGATGATCCTTTGATTTGTATATAGAATATCTAACTGATTTTATAGAAATATATATTTTCTTATATAAGACGTATTTCATAAATCTAAAAAAAAAGGTATAAAGGTTTAGATATCCGTAAAAACGTCGAGTAACGTTTGTCAATAAATTATGATATTAAACTTAAATTATAGTAATAATTCTTTACGATAGTGATTGTATTTTTTGTTGTTTTTTCCATTGATTTATATATGTATAAATACTTTTAATTCTTCTATTTATTATAGAAAATTGAATATCATCATATGCAAATTTAAATACGATTATCGTCCGAAACTGAAGCACGTAGAATCAACTAGCAATTACTATTGAGAAAAAATCTAGGTATTCAAAAGTATTGAAGTTTTAGTGTTGTGGTATTAATTTGAAATTTTGGTATTGTAGTATTGGTATAAAACAATCATAATTGAAGCTAAAATTATTATTGTTTTATATTTTATACTACATCGAATAACTTTAAATAAACTTAACTGTTCAGCGGTAAATTTCAATGTATCTTCGATTACACACACGCGCGCGCACGCGTACATACATAATGTTGCCTTAGGTACTTTTGGCTTTTTCAATAATTTATTTTACTATTTTATACACGGATAATAGTTGCAGTGCAAACGCACACGCACACACACACGAACACTCCTGTTAAAAATAGTTATCTTGACTGTAAATAAAATAAATATTCAACATTAAATAAGACTTAATAGACTTGAGGTATAAAATGATTTTATAATTTTTCAGTAAAATAATTTGTTTTGTATTGGCAAACTCATTCAGTTTTTATAAGTACCTACACGCTATCTTATTTTCATGCAGTTAATCGGAAAGTTAGTCCATTTTGTATAAAATGATAAATTATGTTAGGTAAAATTGCTACATTATTATATCCTTAATTTTGTATTTATAGTTATGTATAATTATCTACCTATACACAAGATCCTATATGATTCAAAGATTTTTAGGAAAGTAGAGACGTATAATTAGAGTATATATGATTAGACGATATCTTTGATCAGTGGCACGTCATCATAAATGTTTGGTATATAATTATATATAACGACTCGTGGTTTTCCATGATCGCACGTATCTACATAATCTTCGATTAAAAGCAATTTGTAATTAGATATTAATAAAAACTAAAATGTAATTTCAATTGCGTCAATTGCCATACCGCATTGATGTATTTACCGTTAAAAAGCGTCGGCCTGCGATCCTCGCGCGACTCCATTTCTTCTTTATAATGAAATTTTTACAATGCTAATTTAACCCGAGCTCGTTTATCTTTACACGTGTAACGTCATATTAAAATATTTCAATTGACCTTTCTCATAAAATATTCGATACGCATTAGAACGTAAATTTAGACTCGGTTGTTTCAACCGGAAAGTTCCTCCGAGCAATGTGATCGATGGCTATACATCTTCCATGAGAATTCATTCTAAATAAAGTGGCTCCGTATTCCCAGTAATCTTAGATTACAATTTCCGTGCGATTACGCATAATTCTATTTAAAAATTCGAAGCATAAGCTCCGACGACGAAGTCGATCTCTCTTCCTCCACCACCCGTCACCACTTCCCCTTTCCCCATACGCCGACCCCCTCCCGAGCCCAATCCCTATACCTCTCCTCGCCCTCTTCCATCCCCCCATCGCCACCACCATAATGGACGCATCATCGCGCGTCAATCGAAGCCACTCCACGAAGCACGTGAACGCTCGGTGTTGCGAACACAGGTGCCGGAACTCCTCGTTAAAAGCCGACGACGCAACTCGCTTCTCCGTATGCGAGCGCCGACTCTTTGTAAGCGGACCCCGAGGACGCGGAGGAGCGGGCCCTAAGCGCTACGTCCGGGCCTCGTGCGCACCCTAGGCCGCGAAAACGACGGGGGAAACTCGGACCTTGACCCGGATTTTTCGTCGGTCACGTGCGCACGCGCGCCTCCCGATAAGAAACGCCGCGCGCGGGATGAGCGTTGCGCAACGTCTTATTCTCGTATCGCAGATTACGGCCATTCCTCGGCCGATAAGAACCAAGCTGTGCCCGTCCGATTAAGCTCAGCTTTTTTCTCTTTTTCGTTGATGCTTAATTATAGATTTGCCTCCTTCTTTATTCGCGGCGAAGACAATTTTGGATCGGCGATTGCGTGTATCACGAAATTTATCTTACGTGCGCTGATTAACGAGCGACGTTTTTTTCCCTTCGTCGCTGTTCTTACACACTATTTCAGATAAGAGCGTGAAAATTTTGAGACAGAAACGTCGATAATTAGAGGAGACGATTTAGTTTTAAAAGATGAGCGCGCTCTCCTATAAAGTTCTAAAATAACTTGTAAGGTATTTATAAATCGAACATTAGCAATGAAAATGGTGTCGGACTCATGCCAACATATTCTTTCAATTTGAATTAGTGAAAATCCCGTCGTTTGCATTATTTGCAGCTTCTATTAGTCCGTTTGCAAGACCATTTGCATCTGTGAATAGTCAGCAGTAAATAATAATTTGTAAAAATAGTTTGACTCTTGCCCTCGGAATAATCACTTAACAAATTGAATTAATGGCGATAAAGTTATCGTATTCATAAGATTATATACTGACTTAGGCGTATGAAATAAATACATTCATGTTAAAATAATTTCATTGCGATCAGTTCTTTATGCTGCAGCACGTAAGCACGAACGCTTAATTTTCCATTTTTAAAATTATTTAATACAATTATAATACAATTTGATTGTTATTGATGGGTCATACATAACTGGCAAGTATAAAGTATATGTTTATATATATAGGTTTGTTTTTAATTGGAATACCTGACATTCATTTCATATTTCATGATACGTTTAGAGTAGTAAAAATAATAAATATTGATTGTCCTATTGCTTGTAAATTATAACTGAAAATGCCACAAAAATGCGACAGACTATTTATGAAAATATATATACTCAACTTATACATGTGTATAATTTACGCATAAAAAAACATTTTATAGGGATTCCTAATTTTTCTTAAAGTATTTATACTAATATAACGTTGTAAAGAATTACAAGTGTATAAGTAAATCGGTTAAAAAATAATTTTGTTCTTCTACTTAGCTAAAATAATACATTCGAACCAATATCTAGAGAAGAATAAGAATAATAACTGCCACATATAAGCTTGGCATAATTTTGATATTTGATCATTCAATATTATATCTTTCTTCTTTTAATTAATGACACTTCTCGATCTCTTATTGCCAATAAACGTGCACACGTGATATGTTTTTTCATTGAACGATAATTCGATAAATGAAAAGCTCAAAATTGAAAAAAAAATTTGAACATGGTATATTTCTAATATAGCTAATTGATTATATTATACTGTTGATATTTCGTCTTGGGTAAGTTTAATTTGGCTAAAAGTTTTGAGTTTAAATTTATTAATAGTAATGCTAGAATCTGTATTTATCAGTACAATAATTTCGATTCCACAAATGCATATCTATAAAAAATGATTGTTTACTAGAAATTAAATATTTGACAATCTGTGTTTTAAAAGATCTTACACACAAGATATATTATATATATATATATATATATAAAGAATTTAGTTTTGAAACTTGCTTAGTTAAAAAAAATTTATAGAGCACGCGAACGGTTTAAAAATCTCTTAATCGCCTCTTAATTGGGTCGATTTAATATAAACCATAAGCTTATACAATTAAAAACTTATAATATACAAAAAAAAAAAAAAAATTCAAGATAAGTTTTTTTCATTCGTATTCTTATCGAGCCGATAGGTGTATTAAATATTTTTCAAATACGCAAGTAAAATTATAAATTTACCAAAATGAAAAGCTTTAAATTGAAAAGTGTAAAAAATAAACGTATTAATGTTTTTGCTATTATTGAATTTTAATTGTAAATTGTTCTAAATTGTAAATTGTTCTAAATTCTAAATTGTACTTTTGCACCACTTCACTTTATTCACTCGGTATTAACATAATCATTGTATTCAATGATAATGTCTTTTTGAAAAAAGCATTATGAACTCTTGAATATTTAATTAAATTGCTCAAGACTTAACACTAATTTGCAAAAAACTGAAAAAGCTGCTAAAGTTTAAAAAATCACTTTATTTTTCAATATAATTATGAGCTTACCAATTTCTATGTATTAATAATTAATTTTGTACTTTGGTTGTATTACTTGACCCGATATGATTATATCTACATATATGCAAGTGCGTGTATGCGAAATAATAACGCATTTTTAATTATTATTTTGTAAAAGAAAATTAAATGGATCATGAATTTACGTTGTACAATTTTTTTCTTCTTCTCTTTTAATCGTACTTTTATGGCCTGGAAACTATAGATTCTTAAAACATTCTGATATTGGTTATTTTTAATACCATAACGTTGATGCGAGCTACCCTAACGTCATTTATATTGTTTGTTTTTCTTGTTCTTTTTAAATTTAAAAAAAAAAGAAAGAAAAAAGAAAAAGGCAACCCAGAAAGAACCTAACCAATATATACAAAGGGTCAAAGCATCCATAAAAAGTATAATACGAAACAAAAGATGCAGATTACAATACATTAAAATACTATTTCTATTCTAATATATTTTGTTTTATTTATACATTCTTGTTAAATTTTTTTTAACTTACAATACAAACTTTTTTATTTCTTAAGTAATTGTTTTATTGTATTTTTCGATCTAATTGAATTTGCCTTTTTTTTTCTTTCCAATTTTGTCCAATAATGCATAAGTAATTTGACTGTTAGAATAAAAATTTGAAGAATAAATAATGATTGAGGATTATAGTTACATTTATATTGTCTGGTTAAATGCAAATATTAAGACACTGCAGTCTCTCAATATATATCTATTAATTGCTATAACTAAATATAAGAGATATTTTAATGAAACAATATTGTTCCGGTAGCTAATGATTATATTGTTTATTGTTACATATCCTAGCTGGATGCATACGACATAAAGCGACGAAGAAATTGTCAATATATAGATATGTAGTAAAGATCACTCGCTCATTAATAATTCACACAACGTATGGATAAATATATACTGCGCTTTAAAAATAATAAGTGAGCCGATCAATTGTAAATCGATTGTAAATCGTCTGCGAACGCACGATTTTTTCCATATTTAAAATCCATAATTTTTTACGCTTAATAATAAGGCGCGTAACCGCGATTTTATTTTCTATATTAGCTTTGCTACAACACACGTCATTAGCTTATTATTATATTAGTATCGCATGCATTGCCTCCGCCGTGGCAAAAAGATACGTTAAAAGCTTTTTTATGGTGACATCCATCGTTTTGCATGATTTCGTAAAATTACGGAACTCGTGTTCTCGTAGGAAAGAACAACATAGATTAGAGAGTTATATGAGAAGAGGCGCATTTAGTGGAAGGTAGCGAGTGTTCTATTAAGGGCAGAGTCGCTCTGCCTCTTTAAATTCTCCAACTATTTATGCTTTTATAATTAGAACGAACGAGCGCAAGAGATGTGAGCGCCCCATTGTCGGAAGTCCGACTATAACCCAAGTAGAGGAGGTCACACGTCCTCCTCGAGTCTGTCGCCTCTACAGGAGCGTGTGAATATACAACGTCGTTTCACGCACGCGCTTTTCTCAATTACAACGACCGCGACTCCTTTTATGCTCTTTCTCATCTACACATGATGTGCTGAGCTTCAAAGCGGGACCCGACGGGACGTGTCTCGTTTCGGGAAAATGCTGTTGAGCCAAAGTTTCACGCAATAAATCAACGATAACTTTCATTTTTTATGGATGTTGCCATCCCTCCAACTCTTCCGTAGTCGACGAATTATTCCGTCTCATTTCGTGGCCGCGCGTGCGTGCGTGAGTGCGTGCGTGTAAGCTTGAAAAAAGGTGGCCGAATGAAATTCTAGAATCATGTATTTAGATAGAGGAAGTGTTTTTTCTCGCTATGTTTTATCGAGTTGATAAAATTATCAGTGAGTCTCGTAATAAATATATGGATGGGCAGCAGTGATAAAATTTTATTCGGAATAATAAATTAGAATACATGCTTGTATAAAAAAAAAAGAAAAAAAAATGTATATTTTGTGGAAAATTTTTCTAAAAATTAATTATTTCATTGAATCAAATTATCATAAAATTGTGTTATCGATATTTCGTAATAAAGTAGTTTCACGCATATAGATACACTACTAATAATAAATGTAGTTTTTCAATTTAAAAAAAAAAAGAGAGAGAAAAAAAGTAAAAAAGACAAGAAAATGGGATCATTAACAGCATTTATGTGATAATATTACTAAATGTGATAGCTAATTCTTATGAAAAAAATGATTCATTCTATAAAATATTCACAATTTAAAACGATTAATGGATTTCTTATATTTTTCTGCCCTCGAAATTAAAAGTTATGGTTTTCTAATTGAAAAAATGTACAACTTGAAATCGAAACAAAAAAAAAACAAAAGAAACAGAAAGAAAGAAAGAGAAAAAAATAAAATTCTTATACGTATTATAAGTTTTTTTTTTTAATATTTATAATTAAAATATAATCATTTCTTTTAATTTCATTTAATACTCAAGTTCATTGACAATGATTCTTAATCATTTTATATTATACATTCGTATTTTATATCTAATATAGTTTTAGCATTTTCTAAAAAAATTTTCCATAATTTTTTTTTACAAAAAAGATACATATATGTTGAAATAGTAAGTATCGATATTCTTTTTTTGTTCTTTTTTTTTTTATCAAATCTGCATATACTTATAAACATTCATTGTGTAATATTAATTTTAAAAAGAGTTGCCTTCTTTTATGAATCTTATGTCTTTTGCATTATTGTGTGCATACATTATCAATTATCGGCTATCATTAACAGATGTTAGCAACAAATATAATTTGATAAACTTATTGAAAATAATCGATGTTTATATTTAATTAATGTATACGCTTGAACTATTGTTAAAAAGTGTATTAAATTATTGACATATTAACTATATTAAATAAGTCATGAGAAATTGATTAATAAATTGTTTTAAGCGACGAATAATTGTTCAAACGTACTTCAAAATTGCTTCAAAATTATCTCTATGTATAAAAATGTTTATATACGACTTTGAAATTGTTTGTAAAATATGTAACAAAATATGTTAAAAAATCTAGTTCAATCAATGGCCTATATATGTTTTAGGATGTTTTAGATAATAGAATAAATAAAAGAGTGGACTCGATGATGGAAGCTGGTTTGATTCAGGAGCTTCAGGACTTTCATGAAAGATACAATAAAGATCGTATGAAAAAAAATGAGTGAGTTAATTTGATTTACTACTTCTATTATTAATATGGCCTGCGTATAAATGAAATATGTATGCATTTGGATAAAATTATAGAATAATTATAAAGTAGTTAATGTGGGTACCGAGCTGTTATTTTATTATATTTTCTTTATCTTGTTTGTTTTTAATTGAGAATAATGTGAGTATAAAAATGTAATTCGTTTGTACATTAAAATTTCTAATTAATGATTCGTATAATCGTAATTAGATGTTCTAAATAATAATGGGAATTCTTTATAAAATTATGTATAATTCTATATGCATATAAATATTGATAATATTGTCTATATATATTTGTTACTCGGACAACTCACTTGTTTATTACTGATAACATAATTATTCGACCTCAGCTACCCTAATAAAATTTCTGTTAAATCTATGAATATTTGAATGATTAAGGATTACCATAATTCATCGGTGATCTCATTTATCTAATAGTTAACGCGAATCTTCAATCCTCGTCACCTTTTAAACAATTTTAATTTCAAAACTTTTAATAATATATATGCAGGTGCGCAAGTTATTAAGGTGATCAAAGCCTTTGTTATCGTGAATTTCAAGAATAGTAAACATTGTAAATGCAATGGGATTCGATTCCTTTGGCGTTTTGAATCTACTTTGGGTTCGAGACACGTATCTTAACGGTCAACGATTCTTAAGTTCCAACAATCTTTAACGAATGGCAAGTAAACTATTGTAAAAGAATGCCACGTCTAAGCATCTTTCGGAAAACGTTCAGGGACACCGCATTCTCGAGACATAAGAATTTACGCATAATTAGAAAGGGTTCGTTTTTAGACCTTACTTTCGAATAAAAAAAAATACTTCGAAGCTCGTTTAAGTTATATTAAAACGAATTTTAAAAATGATTATTGAAATAGTGGATAAGTTATGAAGTTATATGGGCATCGGATAGATGGATAGGTGATAAAGTGATGTAATATTAAAATAAAAAATTAAAATAAAATTTAGGCATTGAAAGATTGTGGAAAAGGAGCCGAGGAGATTTAGAATTGTTAAGCCTATAGAATTTCACTCGCATCGGATTTTAAAAATAAGAGGGAAAGTATCGATCGTGAATCGTTATTTTGTCGAAATTGTAATTTGTGTAAACAGTGGTCGTCTTATATGTGCTTGTAATGTTAAAATGTCGGCTTTGTTCGACCGCTCAGCTGGACTTGCGCACAAACCTGTCGTTGTGAGATTTAATTTAAAAAAGAAGTAACCCTACATTAGTAAGACGATAAAAGTTGCAAGTCGACGAGTAAAAATCGACGGTCAATTGGTGACTTTCGGTAAAAATTACTATTACCATGTTTATTACCGAGTGTTGGAGCCGTGTAAAATTATAATTTTTATAAGAGTTTTAACGACTCTTGCGTGTTGCTTTCTGCATTTAGTGTTGTTTCAGGAAAGCAGTAATCTTTGGTCGAATTACGGCATATATTTATTTTAGTTATGAGCTAATGATTATAGTACTGCTAATTTTCTTGTTTGGACAGTACTTATATTTGTATTTATTATTGGAATTATCAGCCTCGATAAGTAATAATTGGATGAAATATATACAGATTTACGTCTAATACTTTAACTATACATTTACTGAACGTATGATAAAAATGATATTATTATTTAACAATTAAAGGATATTTTAACGAAAGCAAATGAAAGATAGAAATTCAGCTGCGAGTAAAAATTATTAAAACTAATAATCGTTTGCAATAGCGTTTCTCATTATTAATGATTTTAACGATTATATAATTGCCGATTCAATGAATCTCATTTATAGATACTATTATATTTGTATGCTATTGATCTATTAATATTACCTTTTTATCAATGTTCTCTTCAATAATATTCATGAATATTAAGAAGTGAAATGCTGAAATCAAGTCGATAAAAATTCGTTTAATTCAAATCGTCAGCAATTTTTTCTTGGTACCTACAAAAACCACTATATATATATATATATATATATATATATATATATGTAATCGTGACTGTAAATATTTAATTAACATTCGCTGTAATACGAAAGAAAGGAATAACTAATTATCCGAAAATGTTATTGTTCTCCCAACATAAGCTTCTTACATATGTTATTACATGTAATAGAATTCTTTGCTTAAATACGAGACAGACTGCAATTACTATCAAGCACCAGTTAAATAATCATAAAATTCGTTGATAATTTGTCAAGTGCAATTTAGCAATTTATATCAATCCATTAAAGAATTAAATGCAGCATAAAAGGAATTATAATCACTGCGTTTACACCGTGTGGCACAAGAAACGTGAAAATTCTCCGATTTCTTACTTTGCGAATCAAGCGCGCACTCGCGTTTGAAGAAAAGACCAAAAATGCCTAAATTGCATTCCTTTTAAGTCCTACGCTGCAAATTTAATTTTTTTCCTCTTTACTTTAAAAAGCACCGTCTCTCGTGTCACGTGCTGAACGTATTATCCCCTGAGGTATTATTCTTATGTGTGTCGCTCATTCACTTCCCACGATTGTGTTAGAGCTGTCATTGGATTCCGCGCGAATCATCTTGCCGGTGGTGCTTGCGTTTTTCCAACCTTCCGAACTATGCGCGCGGGATTTTCGGAACGAAATTCGGCGGCCACCGGACACTTGAAATGCCGATTGACGGTAACGTCGTCGTGGTCGGCCTCGACTTCAACGCGAAACTTTTACGCCGTAAATCGCCGTAAATCGCCGCAAAGCACGCGGCCACGTGCATTTCCGCTATTTATACGCATGCGGGGAATCGCGAAGCAACGATGTCCATGTGAAAGCAGTTTCATTCTTTCTTCATACAAGCTGCATAATGCTTTATTCGTTGAAACGATGCTTTTACACAACAAGAACATTGATTATTTACTGCAATAGAAATGCTACTCTTTCATTAAACTTCTCCTGATTACTTAGGTATATATATATATATATATATATATATATATATATATATATATATAGACATTACTATTCAAGCTCTTGTACATTATTTTCTATTTAAAATTATGCATATATCATATAAATATCGTTAGAATATAAACTTTAACGTTTCTCAACTAATAAAATATGTACGGAAAGTATGAAAATAACAATTGCAGATTTCGAAATGTCTAAATAATCTTCGATAAAAGTAGATGAATAGAAATTTTAAAAGTGTATATTAATACAAGTTTATCCAATGATTATTATTAATAAATATAAATAATCCTTTAAGAAGAGGGTTAATTTCTTTCTATTAAGTTTTTAAATAGAAATTCAATTTCCACTAGATGGTGTCTGTCTACATTGATTCATTTCATTAAACTTCATTTCTTATTATTTAAATAAGTAAAGATTGCAATATACTTAATAAACATATTAGTGTAACGTCTAATAATAACAAATTTTATTATCATGAACAATGTATGAGAGAAAATGAAATCTAAGTAAAAAATCTATGAGCCCAAAAATTATAAACTCATTATTTCCAGAATAACAATTAGCGGCGTTAAAACTAAAATCGCTAATAACTTATTAATAACGAATAAATTAATAGAGTTTTCAGATTTAGCCGTTATTTAAAAATTGTAAGCATTAATAATTGAAGAAAAGCACAGATATGAAACTGCTCCCCTGAGATCCCTGTTAAATATCCGAGGAAAATTTTCCGATGAACCTTTAAGCATGGAAATTGTATCGTATCTATTAAAACATCTGCATAGATTTGGCTGCTATATCGCTCAGCCTGAAATAAAAAGACAATTTTCCAATGGCCGAGGTTTGTCCATTCGTTGTGCATCGGTAGTGTGCAACGCATCATTTTCACGGCCACTTAATTTCCATCCAGACTTGCCTTACAAGTTTAGTATCTCTTTTGTAAACTTGGTAAGCAGAACAACTTTCGTCCATATCCTTTATTTATGAGCATCTGCTCGATAAAGACACGGATTCGTAAACTCTGTGTGTTTGCGTGCGCGCGTGCGTACATGTACTACATGCCGTCCATTTCGAAAAAAGTTTCCTGCAGATCTCATGCTTTATTCAGATGTCTGTGCCAATTCAATTCGATCGCACAAAGTCAAATGATGGTGTACTCAGGTGCGCATAGATACATCTTTAATGACTCGATATCTTTCCTCCCGGGTCGACTATCTTCGACACTCTATACGTTCGTCGGCGATTTGACGTCGTCATCGTCGTCGTTCACCTCGACCTAATCCAGTTATCGTTCCATTTCCTTCTTCGAATTCTATTTTTCTATTTTTCTTTTTATTCCCCCCCCCCTCCCCGATCACCCACAGATACTTATTTCTTAATATCATTCGTTTTGTGTTTGTATATTTTGCACCGATCGTTCTTAATTACTTTTATACTATTCCATTGTTATTGGCATTTAGCTGTGGTCCATTAGAGATGAAATTTTGATCCACATTGCATGCCCTAGATGAAATAATGCATAATAATGGAGAATAATAATGATAATTATGGGCTAAAGATATTGTTCTAAAAAGTTTAATAATATTTATTACGTACTTTCTAAATTATAATAATATGTTGAGCGTGATAATGTACGAAAATTTATTTACCATTTTGCGATAAATTTACGAATAAATAAATAGCGGTTGAGTGGTACAGATGAAGCAACGCGAACAAAGATTCGTATTTAATAATTCTAAGATAAAAAGCCTTTTTGCAGAGTTTGCAGCGTTAATTGGAAAAGTAGAAGAGTTCGGAAATATTGAATGGCGAGAAAAAAAAATTATTTATCGATAGTTAATCATTATACACGTTATTATGACTTTGTTATTTTGGTAATACACTATTTTACAGCGATTTTGTAGCCAAAAACAACTTATCACACTCAAAAAAAGTTTATTCACGCTTTTTGAAAACCAGAATTGATAATACTATTTATATTATTCGATTGTCGATATTTATGCACTTATCGTGAAACTTGTTATTTTTCATTGCGTCTC